ACAGCTCTTCTGACCGTCCGCCCAGTAACTTGACATCTACAGCAGTGAAGCCGAAAATACTCTACACTGGACGCAGAATAACTCGGAGCTTGAGCTGTGTCACTGAAAGCGAGAAAGGGATGATGGGAAGGGGTGGGGGGAAGACAGCAAAGAGTTTGCCTTCGAATGAAAACTACGAGGGTTACTTCAAAGTCATGGCAACTAATTTTTTTGGGGTAAACACTTTATATTGAAGAAAGTTCAAAATACACATATGAAAGGGCATGATATACTCATTCGATTGTCGTAGTCAGATCAGGTAGGTGTGAATGGGTTCAAACAGTGTCAAGAAACTTTTACGACGTTGGAGATGGGAAGTACTACACCATACTCCATATTCACCCGACCTTTCGCCATGTGACTATGACTTAATACCTAAAATAAAACAGCCATTGCAAGGGAAACGCTTTCGTACACGAGGGGACATTTTAACGCAGTTCGGCGCGAGATGGCAAGATTTGTAGATGGTGAAGCTGTTGGTATTCGCCGTCTTCCTCGTCGTTGGCAGCGAGTACTTTGAAGGTTGCTAGTCTTAATGTAAGAATTCTGATTTAACACACATTGAATTTTTGAACTTTTTAAATCACAATCGAATTTTTCGAGGATTAAAGAATGAAAAAGGTCATTCCGTAATGTGTCATTTTCCTGCCTACTATTCCTACACCCATTCACACTTACCTGATCTGACTACGCCAATCGAAGGAGTATATCGTGCCCTTTCATATGTATATTTTGAACTTTCTTCAATATAACGTGTTTGCCCCCAAAAAATTACATCGTTTCTTGTTTCCCCCCATGTATGCCACATGCTCTATGATCTCATACGAGGTGCGATCGGAAGGTTTCCAGACTGCGCGTATAAAAACCCGTGCACTTATCTCAGGTATTAAATTCATCCATCATCCTCGAAGTAGTTCCCCTGGGAGTGAACACAACGATCCCAGCGCCGCTGCCAAGCCTGGAAGCATCCCTGGAAATCTTTCTTTGTCAGCCTGTCAAGCACCATCTGCGATTCTGCCTGAATCTCTTCTATCGTCTCAAATCTCCTTCCCTTTAGCTGAATTTTCATCTTTGGGAAGAGGAAGAAGTCACACGGAGCTTAGGAAGGAAGTTGGGGTCGGTTCTTGCAAGATCTTTTAGCTCCTGACAAACGAGAAGTCGATTCTGCTTCTGGTCCTCAGACAGGAGCCTTGGTTTCGCATGTGGAGTTCTTCCTTTAGAATCAGCTGACAGGTCCCAACAATGTCGCACAAGTCGTTATGGTACGACGTCGATCTTCGTGAATGGCCTGCCGAATCTTGGTAACATTTTCGGGCGTTGTGCTCGAAGATGGTCGTCCAGAACGCTCGTCA